CAATGTAAAACAAGCAGTGAGAGATAAAAAGGCATCATTTAAAAAGTGGAAGTTAAATTTTAGTGAGGGAAATAAGGAGCATACACTATGTTAAAAATATAATCAAAAAGGCCAAAAGGAATTTGAAGAACAGCTAGCCAAAAATTCAAGAAGTAAAAGCAAAATTTTAAGTACATCAGAAGCAGGAAGCCTAATGAACAACCAGTGGGGCCACTGGACTATTGAGATGCTAAAGGAGCACTCAAAGATGATGAGGTCATTGTGGAGAAACTAAATATATTCTTTGCATCAGTCTTCATGCGTGAAGATATTTAGGGGATTCCCAAATCCGAGCCATTCTTTTTTAGGTGACAAATCTGAGAAATTGTCCCAGATAGAGTTGTCAGAGGAGCTTCTGCAGCAAATTGATAAACTAAACTAAAATTAACAAGTCACCAGAACCAGATGACATTCACCCAAGAGTTCTGAAAGAACTCAAATATGAACTTGCAGAACTACTAACTGTGGTTTGTCACCTGTCCTTTAAATCAGCTTCTGTACCTAATGACTGGAAGATAGCTAATGGGAAACCAATCTTCAAAAAGGACTGCAGAGGTGATCTTGGCAATTACAGACCAGTAAGTCTAATTTCAGTTCTGGGCAAATAGACTGAAACTATAGTAAAGAAGAGAATTGTCAAACACATATGAACATAATTTGTTGGGGGAAAGCCAATATGGTTTCTATAAAGGCAAATCATGCCTTACTAATCTACTAGAATTCTTTGAGGGGGACAACAAGCATGTGGACAAGGGGGATCTAATGAATACAGTAGGGATGTAAACAAGTAGTTGACTATATGATTAACCAGTAAGTCTAGTCCAGAGGTCTCCAACCTTTTTAACCACAAGATCACTTTTTCAGTTTAAGTGCAATGCAAGATCTACCTCAAAACCCAAATACTCTTGCCTGGCTTCCCTCCCCCGCTTCTCTGAGGCTCCACCCCTTCTCCAAGGCTTCACCCTGCTCACTCCATTCCCCCTTCCTCCCCAAATCTCATTCACTTTCACCATGCTGGGGTAGAGAGTTGGGGTACAGGCTGTGGTCTTGGGCCAAGGGGTTTGGACCATGGGAGGGGACACCCTGAAGGTAGGGAAGTGGGGTGGATTCTGGACTGGCCTAGGGCAGCATTTCTCAACCAGTGGTACGCATACCCTTGGGGTACATGAGAGAAGTCAGGGGGTTACGTCAACACAAGTGAAATTTGGCAAAAAATGTCTGGGATTTTGTCCTGCAAAGGGGATTGGGGAAGGGATGGCTGCATGTGCCTATCAAATTGAACTTTCAGAACCATGCATCTGGATGTTAACAGCCGCTCTGAGCACGAGCCCCAACGCTGGGCAGGAAAGCGGGTGGTGGCAGCTTCAGTGAGACCCAGGGCAGTTCCAAGTTGGTGGGTGGGTTTGGGCAGGGAGAAAAAAAATCACTTCCACGGCCACCTCTCCTAGTTCGTTTCCTCTCCAGCAGCATCCCTGGAGTGCTCCAGGGGGGAGGGTGGTTGAACCTGGAGACGCACATTACCCCCACCCTCGCCAGCAGCTCAGTACAATGCATCCCCATCACCCCTTCCCTGTGGCGCTGCGGAGAGGAGCTAGAAGATGGTGAAGTGGCACATTAATTTTTGCTCCGGAGGACCCCCCTGCATCAGTGATGTAGTGGGGAGGGGGGAGCTGCCCCCAGGCATCATGTTAGGGGGGCGCCAGGCTGGGGAGGGAGTGCGGCGAGCCCGACACTCGTGAGCCACTTTCTCCCTTCTGACAAGCCACCGAGACAGGCCCGGGCAGCAGGAGCGGGCGCTTCAAAGGTAGGGTTACCATACATCCAGTGCCTGGCTCTGGGGGAGGGAAGGAGCATTGGGTTAGAGTGGAGGGGCTGGGAGTGCCTTGCTCTGGGGTAGGGGTGGTTGCATTGGGGGTACTTGTTTTTTAAGGAATACATTATTTTAAAGGTTGAGAAACACTGGCCTAGGGGATAGGGCACTTGCCTGTGGAATGCAGGGTAGCACTCCGCTGGGAGTAGCCAGAGAGACAACACAGGATGCTCCAGGGATGGAGCTGGCTCCTGTATTAGGAAGGTAGGGAGGTGGGCTTGGTTCTGCAGTGGCCTAGGGGCTAGGGCATTCACCTGAAGAGCTCAGGGTGGTGGGCTCAAGTCCATCCCACCCTCCTCCGAGGCAGCACTAGTCCTGCCCTGTCCTGCCCTCCACCCACCCTGAGAGCAACCAGACAGCCATCACGGGCTGCTACAAGGATGGAGTTGGCTCCCATATTAGGAAGGTAGGGAGATGGAGTGGGATATGCAGTGAACTTTTGGGATACAGCATCAGCCTCGGGAGCACAGGGTGATGGGCTCAATCCAACACAGGCTGCCCCAGAGATGGAGCTTGCTTCTGTATTAGGATAAAGGATCCTCAGGGGTGGGGTGGGGGGCATGGATTCTGAAGTGGCTTAGGGGGATAGGGCACCCCTCTTGGGAACACAGGGTGGTGAACTCTAGTCCCATGGCAGCACCCCTGCCCACCGTGGGAGCAGGTGAACAGCCAACATAGACTACACCCCCAAGGATTGAGCTGGCTCTGGTATTAGGAAGGCAGAATAAGGGACCTCCTGAAGGTAGGGAGGTGGGCCGGGCTCTGGAGTGGACTAAGGGCTTCTTCAATGCAGCGTCCTCCTACAGAGGTTGCAGTGCAAGGTGGCAGGGGGCTCCCCAGGAGTGGAACCAGAGCATGCTGGCTACTTGCCCCATCCCTGGGAACCATAGGATAGTCTGCTAAGGATTCATGTGGTTACTCAACTATTTAATTACCTGCTATCTATGTACTTAGATTTCCAGAAGGCCTTTGAAAAGGTCCCTCACTGAAACTGTCAAAATCAGACTGGTGACTAGATTCACTATTGTTTATGACACTTCCAGATGCCTTGACAGAAAAGAAGGTGATTTTATAATTAAACTTTTACGACTAAACCTCTTTGAAAACCACCGAACATTAGCTTGCTATAATAAACAAAAAGTTTTGCTTAAGATAATTCTTCTCAGTATTAAGACCAGCAGCAATATTTACACCTCTTCCACAAATCTATGCTAATAAATCAAGGTCCTCCGAGCCCCATAGATCAATTATTCCTACAGAAGACAACAGTTAACAATACCTCTATCTTTACTAGCTGTTGCTAGTACCCAAGGCAATATATTTCATCTGTTCCATCTTCCTTACAGAAATGCTTTTGACAAGCTAGCACATTTAAAAACATCATTCAGATTATTTTATTGAAACCACATTTTCCACCTTTTCTTCATTAGATTTTGATAGTGGTGGGGTGGGGTGATTTCACTGTTTAAAAAAAAAACATTTTTAAATCATTCTTAAAGTAGAATGAGATCTTAATTCTCAAGAGTAAAATTATATTTCTAGCAAAGTACATTTGCCAATAATTTCTTTTTCTCCCATACAAGATTCTGTTGCTTCTTTGCAGAAACTGAACTCCCTTATGGAAATACAGACTTGAACAAAAAGAGCAAAATGAAAATAAGCTGGTGGTTGTTGTTTTAAATAAACTTTATCTAACCATTAGTAAATAGAAAGCAAGAAGATTTCTGGAATGGTTATTTGTCTGTCTAACTGACCACACCTCGTAATATCATTTTAGGACTACAAAATCTTGCTAAATCTATATTATTTGTGTATATAGATTTACCATAGAATAAACAATAGAATTCTAACTGCACTGCATTTGGAAAGAAATATAAATATTCTGCTTCATTTTCTCACAATCCCATTAGAAATTTAGCATACACAAAAAGAAAAATTACAGCCTTGCAGATCTAAATAACCAAGTTTGGGCCTAGAAGTGCCTCAGATAATTAAAATGGTTTCTTCTTTCTTGAAAAGGTCAGCTAGAAGCATAGAAAGATTCATCATCAAGTTAATTGCCTTTAAATGTTATAAATCAGCAATTTCCTTCGCAAGAGCTTAGAAATAAACACCATACACAATTCACCTTAATCATAGAGGGCCAGATTTTCAAGAATGTTCAGCACTTGTGTTTGGGGCCAGATTTTCAAAGAGCTCCCAGAACACTGTGGGCACCTAAATGATACCTCCTGATTCTCAAAAATGCTCAGCACTCAACTAAGCAAACGGAATGCTTGAGCCCTTTGGAAAATCTGGCCACTTAATTTAAGTCCCTGATTGGGAGCTGATAAATATAGAATTCTGTGAATTTATTTTATTTTAATTTCCTACCTTTTTGCTTTAGATTTAGGAAACAGCATGTCTCCGGACCTTTTTTGGTCTAAAATGGGCAAAATTGTTAGTTTCCTTCATTTATTTGGCTAGTTTAAGAACCCTTCATTTTCAAGATACTGGAGTTTTTGAATACTAAACTAATGCGGCCTTTTACAGCCTCCACTTATTCTGTAATGAGTGCATATACACTCACTACAGCAGTCTTATTTTCCTGGGCTTCCCCAGCTAATGCTGAAGGAAGATACAGCAACACTGTGCTTTTTGACATGCAAGAAACCCTCCCACCTGCAAAAGCACCACCCAGGCAGGCCAGCATACAGAACTGATGTACAGAAAGCCAAGACAAAGTTACTACAAGAAAGCGTTCCTACAAAAGCTGCAAGTCCTGACATAATTCACACTCTCCCAGATGCTTTGCAAGTGAGATCATTGCTCTGCAGAAACATTGTATATTGGAGAGAGAGCAAGCTGCGATTTTAGCAGAGGAAACAATATTTTCTTCTACTTACTCCTAGGCACTCCTGCGACAACCGCACAGAATAAAATGACTGAATGCAGGCCCATGACCATCCAAAGTGCCTCCTTAGCCCAGCAATAACAAACCCACATCAGTCCTCTCAGAGGCAGCCCTGAGCCAGGCAGTGAAAGAAAACTTTCTTCACAAAGCAGGAGCTGACTTAGTTTAACTCCCCTCTTCCAGCCAGGGGAGGGGCTGAAAGGGGAGAGGGGGGTGGTGTGTGTATGGGAGGGAGGGGGTGGGGAAGCGTAAGGGAACATGTCAGCCACTCTGAGTTCTCTGATAATGTTTTAGACTCAAGGTACCCAAGCAAGGACCATTTCTAACCTATGGAAAAGTCACCCCTCGGCAGAGGAAGCTGAAGTACTCAGCATCGAAAGAGGTGCGACAACCTGACCAACCCAGGGCAGCCATGCAGATGACAGAACAGTGATCCATTCCAGCACAGCATGGGGAAATGGGCACAGGGTTTGGGGCTGCAAGGAAGGTGTGTCCGTGGTAGGGGGAGAGCGAAGCAAACAACTGAGGTTTTCTCCCTCCATGCTCACCCAGGGCAGCAACATCCTCTCGGCGGAAGTGCCATTCCTCAGGTGACTGAATGTTCGCTTAAAACCACACAGACAGGCATGTAAAAAAGAGCCCTGGTGATAGCTGCAGGGTTTTAAGACATGACTTCCAGTGTTCCCTGGTCTAACGCCTTCCCCTGCAGCAGCTGCCTTCCGTTTGCTTTATTTCCACAGCTCCCACT